GGGCTAGTTCTTCCAACTGCTCGTGCAATTGTCTCATCTCTATCCTCTGGAGCTTCTCTTTGTCCTTTAGCACGTTCCTTTCATGCTCTGACAACTTGGCGGCAATGCCATGACCGGGACCATGAACGAAGTCCTGTTTGAGCTCCGCAGCTTTTGCCTGAAGTATTGCCCGCAGCTTCTCTTGCTTAGGAGAGGCACGCCGTCTTGCTGCGGAGTCAACGACTTGCTGAAGGTCTTCCAGACCTTCCTCGGCATCTGGCTGCTGCAGCGAACGCCGCTGTGCGTCCCGCTGTCTCTGGAAAGACGCCAAGCCCTTGGATTTCAGCCTCGAGCAGAAGGACTTTCGTGGAAGTCGGTCCCGTCTCGTGTTCCGACCTTGCCCACCATAAAGCTTCCGGTACTTGTCCAGGATTTTGAAACCAAGACTGGATGGCTGGTAATTGCCCTTTGAGAAAAAAACCACCTTGTCCAGGTCCGGGCAGTCGCAGAAGACTTTCAGATAGCAATTCCTGTTTTCCTCTGACATACTGGCCTTGATGGAGCCTGCAAGACGGAGAACCGCCACAATCGCTTGCGCACAACTCAACGAGCATCGAACATGAACATGCGCCTGAAAACAGCCGCAGTGTGCTAAAGCTGGTCTCGATCTCCGAAGTGGCATCGAAGATTGCTAGCATGAAGCGAACCTGAGAACTCTGAAAATACCACGCGCACACACGCACAAACACACGCCCGTGCTCCAAGGAAATGCCATGTCACAGACTGTGGTCTCAGTGAAGGACGGCAGCTTTCAGTGATTTCAACCGATCAAAGCGCTGCATAGTCATGGGCCAGTAGGCTCTCTCAGACCTGCGCACCACCCAACCCGCCTGCTCCACCTCACGCGCTAAACCTCTACTACCATATCTCGGCCAGCGCCTGGCAAGAAAGACCGCCGTGGGTCGTGCGACGAGGTACTCTTCGCGCAGCACGTGTGTGTCCAGCTGCAGCAGCTTGGCCAAAGGATCCAACACCTCGGGCCTTAGTGCGTGCAGGCTCGCGCAAGGCGCCACCGGCCAGGGAATGAGAGCAAGTTTGCCATTGCCGACTGACGAGGAACAGGGTGGAGTCTGATCTGTTGGCCGTCCACCAGACCACGTCGAAGGGGCTCAGAGCAGACCCAACACCAGCTTGATGCCAAGTCTCCACGGACTCGAGAAACAAGTCCGACACGTTCTTGATGGACCCCAATTCGGGCGCCAGCAGAGCAGCATACTCTTCGTCGGGCATGCCTGCGGTTTAGTTGAGGGTTTGGGGTTTAGGGTTTAAGAGTTTAGGGTTTAGGGTCTAGGGTCTAGGGTTTAGGGTTCGCGAGCCTTCGTAGTGAAACAATAGGCGACCATCCTGGTACACGGCAATGTCCGAGCTGCTGCCTTGGGCAGCTTATTATCATGCGAATTGCAGACGCCCAAGCGTTCTCACAGCAAGAAGTTTTCTTATCATTGTAGGCTAAGATGCTCAAAGCTTTCATCTGCTGCTCGGCTATCTGAAGGTACCCGGACGTGTAATTGCTATTGAGAACCAGAGGCCGTTGGGCGGTGGAGCCGTCCAAGGACTTGAAGGCAAAGGTGCGATTGAGATCCTGTGTGAACCCAAGCAGTAATTCATTGGAACGCAGCATCCGCACAAGTGAGTCTACAGCGTCCTGCTTCAGATTCTCGCACAACCTGGAGCAGTTGGATATGCGAGCTGTGGAAGAGGTCGGCGCGGACTCTGACTTTGCGGCGCCCCTGTCGTACTCATGAACGAATGGAGACACCAAGCTGAGCCACTCCGTCGTCAGTGCAAGCAGCCGAATGTTGCTGGGCGTCAGTACCTCGCCGTCAGAGTCATGTTCCCGGACAGAGCCCTAGTACTACGGACAAACAAGAGCCAACCGGCATACATCATACGCTGTCAGGTTGCAGCTAGAAGTTTCACAGCCCACGCTGATTTATCGTTCTTCAATGCTGCCAGGTCCAAGAGAAATCGAACAACCGAAGAGATGCACAATATCAATTTCTGCAGACAGTTCGTGCAACTGTCAAACCTTTGAGCCGCGTAATGAGCGCTCATCTGCGGACCCAGAACACAATCAAGCTGGGATTGCACCTTCTCGCTGAACTGTGCTAACAACTTGTGAGAGTTGCCAATGGCCCTGCAGAAACCGCCCGGGTCCTTGCTGTTTTGTGACGACAAACGCATAACGAACTCATCTAGCAGGATTTTGATGTTCCCGTCGCTCTTCAGGGAGTTTTCCAAGCTTCGCTGCGCCGAGTGCAGCCGGCATCTTGTGGACAGCTTCAAGGAAGGCAACACACCCTTGGCCTTGGCTGCGAGGCTGGTACACGCTGCTGGCGGTGAACCGCTTCCATCTGAGCCTGTGGCGGCAGCAAAGCGCCCAGCCAGTCCCTCAGCTTTTTCGCCATCCACAGTGTACACCTGCAAAGGTGCGCGCATGGCCCACAGAACTGCAGGAGACCCTGGACTTCGGTCCTGGAAGAGCTTTGCGAAGGACTCATGGTTGTCCGGGCTGAACTTCTGCAAAACTCTCCCCATGTGCTCCACTTTTCCGAGCGAAGTCTGTCGCAGGGCACGGTATTGCACGTGTTCTGCGCAAGCAACATTACTATTGACATGCCTGCCTTGACGCCGTGGCACTTTGAGAGCTCCAACATGCGGTGATGAACCTGGCTTCGACGCCTACCAATTATTCACATACAACTGCAACAAGTATGCCACTGAACAGCGGCGCCTGGTACTTGTGGTCCACAAGTCTCATCTTCACACACAAGGAATCTTTGCTGACGTCCTGACCCACAGGACGTCAGCCTGTGACCAGCCTCTGACTGTTTCTCAGCACAGCGTTCAGACTCAACCGCCTCGGCCCAGCCAGCGGACTTGCACTTCGCGGCCAGCCTGCGGTCCTGAATCAGCACGCAAGCCCAAATGAGACACACACACAGAGACACACACACACACACAGAGACACACACACACACACACCCACCCACCCACCCACCCACCCACCCACCCACCCACGCACGCACGCACGCACGCACGCACGCACGCAAGCACGCCCGCCCGCCCGCCCGCCCGCCCACCCACCCACACACACACACACGTCTACGCAACGGGCCACTGCCGGGCCTCGTCCCACAGCACCTCTGCAACTGTCCTGATGATTCGCGCGTGCTCGGTCGCGCAGGAGCGACCCGCAGGAAAGTTCCTGCAATCGGCTCGCCCCGCCAGTTCGCACCGAGCTTCGTAGGACCTACCCTGCGCGCTGCTAGGCATCCGCAGGACTTCAAGCGCCAGGCGCACTTGCGCTGGTGTCGGCACTGCCTTGTCCTCCTCGCTCCCCCTGGGCGATGCAGCTGGCTGTCCCAGCTTCTCCAAGCTCCGAATGTGCCCATCCGACTCTCCGTGACGCCGAAGATCCTCCAGCTGCAGCATACCCCCGAACCGGGTCATAGGCACCTCGCACAGAGATATAAAGCAAGGAGGAGCGAGTCCAAAGCCGTGCGACACATTTCCTAAAGTAGTGCATGTCGTTTTAGTGACCAAAACCGCGCGACACATTTCCTAAAGTAGTTAGTGTCGTTTTGAGTGACCAAAACCGGGCGACACATTTCCTAAAGTAGTTTGTGTCGTTTGAGTGACCAAAACCGGGCGCCACTTTTCCTAAAGTAGTTTGTGTCGTTTTAGTGAGCAAAGCCGGGCGACACATTTCCTAAAGTTGTTTGTGTCGTTTTAGTGACCAAAGCCGGGCGACACATTTCCTAAAGTAGTTTGTGTCGTTTGAGTGATCCAAGCCGGGCGACACATTTCCTAAAGTAGTTCGTGTCGTTTTAGTGACCAAAGCCGGGCGACACATTTCCTGAAGTAGTTTCTGTCGTTTTAGTGACCAAAGCCGGGCGACACATTTCCTAAAGTTGTTTCTGTCGTTTTAGTGACCAAAGCCGGGCGACACATTTCCTAAAGTTGTTAGTAGTCGTGTTGTATTACAATTTACCTTTGTTTAATCTCTCTCTCTGTCTGTCTGTCTCCCTTGCTATGCTTTTGTGGAAAGAACAAAAAGATGCAGAAACACCCTTCCGAAAGACAGCACACACCTCGTATTGGGCTGCACCCTTCTTCATTTGGACAAAGGCCGATCCAGATGCAGCCGGGTTGTCACAAGCATCTCTGCAAACTGCGCACCCCAATCCCCATGGCTTGTTGCTGTCGCTCTCCACCAGCCACGTGGCGGTGCCCCCGGAGCTGGTAGAATAAACAAGTTTCTTTTGCCAGGAAGCAGCATGCTTGATGTACTTGCAGCGGTTGCACCGCTTGATGCACAGCTTTGCCTCAGGTTTCGTAGCGTTACAACTGAAAATGCCACATTAACTTAGAACCCGAGACCAGTACACTCCCGTGCTTCTCCAGACATCTCTTCGCATGTGCACCTGCAGGTGCACCGGACGTGCAAACAAGTATCAATAAAAGCAAGGCTTCAACTCGAGCTTTACTGACCTTACCCGCGCCTTCTGGACTGTGACCTCGCACAGATGCCATCTCGCTGAGGTCACGGAATCAGGTGTCTCAACGTATGAAAGGTCCAATGTTAATTGCATAAGCGCCACATTAGAAGCGTTTTGTCGCAGCTTCTGGTTTAGGGTTTAGGTTTCCGGGTTTATATGATAAGGTTCCCATGTAGTTCAGGCATTCGAGGGTTACAAGAGAAGCCTTGCACATGGCTTTGGAATTCTGGGACCCCAGCGGCTTCAGTAGACTCGCGCTCAGGGAAGCTAAGTTGGCGATCACCCTAAACCCTAAACCCTAGACCCTAAACCCCTAAACCCTAAACCCTAAACCCTAAACCCTAAACCCGACAAGACCCAAGGGCCTCAATCCCGTGGGCCTGCTGATGGAGTGGCGACCTGCCGGAGGGCCTGCTAACGCAGCGGCGACCTGCCGGAGGGAGCTCTTGTGGGCACGAGGGTTAAGGGCTCCAAAGAGTTCGGGCTTGGGGTTGAGGTTCTTTTGTTAGGGCTGCGTGAGGAGCTACACTCGAAAGGGTTGGAGTTTAGCCAGGGCTAACCGAACCCAATCCCTAGACCCTTTAAACCCTAAACCTTCAAGGCCAGGAAAAAGAGATATCGTATGCGTTTCATTACGAGCAGCTCACACAATAACCCCTTCATCCTTCACAGTGTAAGACCCCATCAGACAAAAGCATGGCTTTCAGGCACCAAACAAGCCCCTGAATGGTGAAAGACAAGCCCCTACAGCTCCCAGCCCCCCCAGCCTCCCAGTCCCCCCCCCCACCCCCCCCCACCCCCCCAGCCCCACCCGACAAAACCTCCCCAAATTTCAGCAAAAGCAAGAAACAAAACCCGGCAAATCCCGACAAAACTCCGGACACAAACTAAATACAATTTCTATAAACCCCTAAACCTCCTGACAAGACCCAAGGGCCTCAATCCCGTGGGCCTGCTGATGGAGCGGCTGCTGACGCAGCGGCGACCTGCCGGAGGGAGCTCTTGTGGGCTCGAGGGTTAAGGGCTCCAAAGAGTTCGGGCTTGGGGTTGAGGTTCTTTTGTTAGGGTTGCGTGAGGAGCTACACTCGAAAGGGTTCGAATTTAGCCAGGGCTAACCCTAAAACCAAAAACCCAATCCCTAGACCCTTTAAACCCTAAACCCTTTCAAGTTTAAACCCCAAACCCTGAAGGCTATAAGACCTCTGATTGGTGCGGTTATTACAATTATATTTAGTTTCAAGGGCCTCGGGTCTTGTGGTTAGCGCTTGGCATTCATGTTGGGTTTATCTGTTTCCAAGGCAGGAAGAACGACAGGTCCTCTAGGCCAGCCCTAGTACTGTTACTGCTGGCACAACTTCTGCTGCAGCGGGCGATTCTTCAAGAACTCCTCAACCAGCATTCTGCTGTCAGACACACGCCGCATGAACAAGTGACACACATAACGAGTATCCTGGGGCATCGAGCTCATGGCTGGAACACGCTTGTCAAGCTCCTGGAAATCAGACACCGTCGCATCAAAACTCCAAATCTGTTCCATGTCTGTAAAGGGATGTGTGCCAGCGAAGCATTCCATCAGTGTGACCCCGTATGCCCAACTCTCTGACCGTCTGGATGGAGTTGCACCTCGCCAGACCTCCGGTGGTCGGTAGAGCCCAGTGTACGCGGCCGTGTCCTGTGATTGCGCTGCCAGCGCAGCCTCCGCCTGACACAAGGTCAGTCTTCCAAGCTTCAGGGTGCAATCCTGCTCGTTCCAGAATGCCGCATGCGGCCTCAAGTCCAGGTGCAAGAGTTGCAGTCCGTGCAGCTGCGTCACCGCGAGCGCCAACTGCGCAGCCATTGCCTGCAGCTTGTGGCCCCTCAGCGGACCAGATCTTGTCAGCACGTCGCTCAGCCGAGGCAACTTCTCAAAGACGATGCATTTCACCGGATCGTTGCAAATGATGGCCTGCTGCACACGCAAGAAGACATCACAATTCCATGCATCGTTTTCTTCCGCCCGCCAGAGCTGCTGCAAGATGCCTACTTCATGTCGGAAGTCCGCCTGAGACTCATAAACCACTGCAGCAGATTCGAAACGAAGATCCTTGTGCAGTGCAGCATAGGCAGCCACGGACGTTCCTCTCCACAAGACCGTGTCCAGGAGCTCATACTCGCCTATGCTTGAGCCAGGTCCATGCTGAGGTTGGCCGTTCGCCCCTCCAGACATGAGTTGCTCCTTCGCTCGAGCAAACGCGGCTTCCTCCTCCTTGGCCCTCTTCTGGTATGGCTCTTGGCCCTTTTTGCCCAAGCGCTTCCACTCGTCTCCGATGCGGTCGAATGCCAGACGTTGTGGACGTTTCTGATCTGCTGACCCCGAGGCCTCTTGCTCTCGCTTGACATCGTCCTGAATCCGTGCGTACTGCTCTGACACGAAGATTGCATAAGGTGTTCTTTTTTTCGGAAGAAACTGTTTGACAGCCTTGTCGGCGGCCTTTTTGGCAGCCTTTTTCGCAGCAGCAGATTCCGGCTTTTTTGGAGAGGCCGGGTCAGATTTAGACCCCTTGGGTGGCATGGCAGCGAAGAAGATGGCCGATCTAGGCAGCCACCATGTTTCTTCTACGACAATTGCAAGACAGGAGTTCTCTGTATGAAAGGTCCACTGTTAATTGCATAAGCACCACATTAGAAGCGTTTTGTCGCAGCTTCTGGTTTAGGGTTTAGGTTTCCGGGTTTATATGATAAGGTTTCCATGTAGTTTAGGCAGTCGAGGGTTACAAGAGAAGCCTTGCACATGGCTTTGAAATTCCCCCAGCGGCTTGAGTAGCAGAGTCATGCTGAGGGAAGTTTAGTTGGCGATCACCCTAACCCCTAAACCCTAAACCCTAAACCCGACAAGACCCAAGGGCCACAATCCCGCGGGCCTGCTGATGGAGTGGCGACCTGCCGGACGGCCCGCTGATGCAGCGGCGACCTTTAGGATGTCATTATGAAAGCCCGAGGCACCGCAAACCTCTTACAACCAATTGCTATCGACCCTTTGGCCTTAAAACAAAAACTCAACCCCAAACTCTAAGCTTGAGTGACCGCCCGCCAAACATACCCCGAAACATACCCTGAATCATAGCCTTAGAGTTAAGGTTTGGGTTTTCTATTTAAAAGTTCCCTCTGCCCTAAACCAAAACACTACTGGTTCCAGTTATAGGGTCTGCCGGTCGTTTGGGGGGTTTAGGGCTTAGGGTTTAGGGTTTAGGATTTAGGGGTTAGGGTTTGGCTTAAATTCGGCTGGGGGCTATTAGGGCTAAGACCCTCGAATCCTGAGACCCTGAGACCCCAACATCCTAAGGCCCCAAGATCCCCAACGCCAGACCTCAACCCTTATGACCCGACGAGGTGCGCCATCCTGCGCTGGGTCCGACGACCTGCGAAGAACTCCGCCACGATGTATCTGCCGAGGGAGTTTAGGGTTTCGGGTTAGGGTTTAGGGTTTCGGGGTTTGGGTCCCTAAGCCCTGGCCCGAAACCCTTAAGACTCTCAACTCCGCAGGATTCAGGTCGCTCCTTTGTAGGGGGGGGGGGTTTGTTGGGAGGGCTTTCATGAAGGGCTTTGGGTTTCGGACGGTCTAGGGTTTAGGGCTTAGGAGGGTTTAGGGTTTAGGTTTGTTCCTGGCGTGACTTTTCAAAGAAGTTGCAAAAGGACCCCCAAACCTTCCAACGGCCCCCCCCCCCCACCACCCCAACCCTGGCACCCGCAGAAACCCTGGACAGGGTTTAGGGCACCTTACAAAGGGCTTGGGGGTTTAAAGTACATAATTCTGCGGGGTTCCCTGGACAGGGTTTAGGGCACCTTACAAAGGGCTTGGGGGTTTGAAGTACACAATTCTGCAGGGTTCAAGAATTTTAGTTTAGGGTTCTAGCTCCGAAACCCTAGACCCAATACCTCAAACCCGACATTAAAACCTGCAGGGTTTTGGGTTTAAATTAGACCTCCCCGTCAAACCCCTGGAAAACCTAAACCCCTAGGGAGGGCAGCGACCTGAACGGTCACCACACCCCCCGGCAGCTGCCTGATCGGCAACCACGCACCCTAAACCCTATAAACCCAAAACCACACCTCCCGGCGTCTAGGTGGATCCCAGACCAATTAACTGAAACACACACCGAGCCCTACATTTCAACTCCTAAACCTAAACCCGAAACCCTAGAAGGCGGCAGCGCGGGGGCGAGCTCCTTGTGCCTAAACCCTTACTAAACCCTCAGCCAAAATCCTAAAAACCTCCAACCCTTGTCAACCGGATGGCGATGGCAGCTAAACCCTACACCGAACCCTTGCCCCTGACCCCTTCACCGCACCCGGGCTGCGGTGCCTGGGCTGCGGTGCCTGGATGCCTCTGGGCTGAAGCACTGTGCGAAGTTATTACGTCTACATTTGAGATTAAAACGAACTAGATCCTAGTGTAAGACACGATTTAGCGCATTATATCTAAGTTTTAGATCAAAACAATATAAATCCTAGTTCAAAATCAATTATCTTTGACAATGCAGATATTGTCAATACCCACGCTGCACCTGAATGCTTGTTCCAGGTAAGGTTGTTTAAAGCCCCACGTCTCCTGTAGCTACGAGGTTTATGTTTACGTTGAA